CTCGGGAATGGACGCTACGCAACGCCTACCCAGGGGCGCGGAATTCCGTCCTGCCAGGCGTATTAATCCTATTCGTCTTAGGGATTTATCGTGGACACTGCCTTGAAGTGCTCTCATGAACTAAGAGTCTGTCTACAAGCACTACGCTTAGTTAGAGCTGACGTACCTGTACTCAGCGCTACTAAAAGATTTCGTTCCCGTTTCAGTGAATGGCTCTCCACATGAGGCTTTGGCCGACAGAGACATTTGCTGATAATTAGTTCTATTGAGGACGGCTGTACAGGAGTGACCGTTGATGCGACAGCTTTCTGAACGAAAAATTGTGAACAGAACGAAAAAAGCAGAAATATACTAATTCAACTGTGAATGCACATGTCACATGATGTTTACCATGGAATGCGCCCCGCTTACGACTTTCATTTGGGATTGTGAAAACATCTGTTGCGTATGGGAGCGAAATATTTGTTTTGGCATTGATTTCGCTGGTGTTTGAATGTATATAAACTGAATGTATGAGCGCTAAACATATGGAATGGAACAGGCAACAATCATTATGTAAACATGCAAGGAAAAAGGGATTCAGGCCAACAATATGAAAGAACAATGGTTTCTGCGTCAGCCGACAATTTTTTAGAATGCGCCACACATGCTACTTCCATCTAGAATAGTGGCCCATACCACGATTACCAAGGGCAGAAGATGTACCAATCAATGTTTTACCTTGCCAGGCAACTCGGAGCGAAACCACTCTGCCGACCCTGACAACCCATATCCCGAACATGGAGGGGGCGTGGTCGCGTCGGCTGCGCTTTTGGTGGGATATCGTTGCCTCGGGATATAGCTCGTTCAAGTAAAGTATGTAGCCGCGCCCTTTCCAGCTCTCGGATATGAAGCGTTAACGATGGAAGGTATGGCTGGCCCCAGAGATGACTTCATATTTTGGTGTACATGAAGGTGATGGGCGAGAGCCAGCTCCTGCTTATCGAGGACGTCCTCTGTCTGGGCTGCGAAAACTTTGCTGATATGTGACTCGGTCGAAGTGACTTTTTTTGCCCCCCTCCCCGTATTTCGAGCGCATGCTCGTCCTTCGGGACTGGAGCGGGTAACAAGAAACTTATTTCGGGCGTTCTCGGGCGTTTCGCTCCGTTTTCGCCCCACTGCCGCAACTTATGGAGCCTCTATGTGTTCGTTTTCTGCAACGAGCCAATTTGCCGTGCCCACTGCCTTCAAGTGGCGCCACTTGTCACATCACCATCACCCATTCCATTGAAGAGCGTGTATTCTTCTAAAATCTAGGGCGTTTATTCGCCAAATCCAGAGCGAGGATAAGGCTTGGCTGACGTAGACGGAGAGCCGATCTAACAATCAGATTTAACGACGTAAAGAATGACGCAAGCATGAAGCAATCCCTGCGGCGAGAAGTGTTGAAAAGTACGCGGAGTAATATGCTTTTACATTGGACCGTACTTTTTGCCTTTACGAAATTTTTGATTGATAGGTAATTTAGCAGCTGCCATTGCAGAGAAAAAAAACTTGGCTGTAACTCCTGCTGATGGCTTGAGAAAGTTTAAAAAAATTCATTTTTATTTTTTAATTTATTTCTCAGTTAATGACGGGATCCCAACAGTCGACTGCCGTGCTCACAAAACTCGGTTCGTAGACACTCCCTTTCTAATACTGAGATATGCGTGGTACAAACTTTCCTGCTCACAATTTCATCGAAAAATTTGCTGTTACAACTTGTTCAATGGAATTATAATGGAGCCTGATGTGCTATTGCTCATCAGAAATGTACACAGCTGTCACATTTCGATAGAAATTAATTTCGCAAAACGGCTGAAGTCCAAAGATAGACAAACAATGAAAGATGGCGTCATCTGTACAAAAGCGTATTCAAAGTACAATGGATAGAATGGAAATGGAACAGTACAAATGAGGCCGTTCATTTTTTTATCATTTTTTCCTCAGAAATTCAAAAGTAAATTTCTCAAGAAGACAATCATAAACGTATCGTTTAAGGACAGACTTCGCGATGAGCCTACGAAAAGTTCGTAGGTGGCGGGGTTAGAAACAGAAGCATAGGTGCTGCTTGACTTATCCGTGAAGAAAAATGAAGAAACCGTTGGAAACTACAAGTAAGGCCCTTTTTCTGCCAAGCCAAGCGAGAGAAAAAAATCGATGTGGATATCGGGTGGAGGCCAGAA